TATCACTCTATCTATGGCCCGCGTGGAGGGAAAGTCAGCTTGCTTTATGAGGGGTGCTTGACTGAGGCAAGTCGATGCATGCGCAATGTGCAGCTTGCTGAGAAATGAGCGGCGATAAGCCGGGAGTGAGTGCCGAAAACGGGTATGAATGATGATTATCATAGCCAAGACTTCCTGAGCCCTCTCACATGTCCCCTTTAGGCATAAATACCTGGCTCCGGTGCATGAGGGTGGGCAGGAGGGCGCATCTGACAGTAGCTTAGCATTAGACTATCATTTCGAGTGAAATATGAGTTGCAGCTCTTTACGTCACCGGATGGTCACCAGCACAAGTCCCTTGTGAATCTAGGAATCGGGTGACTCCATCACCTGCTTGTTTAACAGTTTCCAGTTCCAGTGGTACTCATTGCATGAAAATGAAGACAGACCATGCGTGTATTTTTGTGTGGAGGTGTGTGTGTGTGTGTGTGTGTGTGTGTGTGTGTGTGTGTGCATATGTGTGTGTGCATGTGTGTGTGTACGTGTTTTTTCAAAGATCCTTGGCAGATTGAGCCTGAGGGCGGATGCCAATTGCCCGCTTTAACGTGTTTTGTGCTCATTTCAAAGGAGAGAGAAAAAAGGTGTCATGAACTGCTACGTATTTCACTGACAACAACGACGTTGTTCGGCCTTGGTTCTCTGCCTCTCCTTCTCAACTGTAGGTGGTGTAATCAGCTGAATCCCGCTGTCAAGAAAGAGCCATTCTCAGAGGAGGTAAGTGGAAAAAGCAGCCTTGTTGCTGGCTGACAAGGTTTTATTTGAGGCTTCCTGCTGATCCATGAGGCTACCCTGTCCTTTTTTTTTTTTTCCTTGGTGTGGGTGCTAGGATTCGAGCCCAGGTCTCCACGGCCACAATAACAAATGTGCTTCGCATGGACAGGGATGGTCCCTGTGCAAGGATGACACGCATAAATCGAGAAATGGTCCAATTTTTTGTGGCTTTGTAGTAGTTTGTACGCTGCCCTTTTCTTGGTCTTTCCCCTTCATCTCTTTTTCAAACCGGGTCTCCGACAACTCCAAACTTTTGTGATCCATTTTCCCGCTGATCTGCTTCCAAGCGCTAAGAAAGTCCTCAAACGGCATCTGCTCTTTGCTCTCTTCATTCTTCAGTTTACTGTCCATGGTACTGGGCAAGTTTTCGTGGTGGTTTATGTCCGAAGCAGGTTACGGTCCCCTTTTTGCATCCTAGAAGCAGGTCGGGCAATCATCTGCTCATCCTGCCATGAGCGCTAGGCTTCACTGTTGTGGAGGCAGCTCCAATCCGCTCAAAAACAGCCAAAGTGTCTGCATCTGCTTTCTCTCTTTGCATCCTAGAAGCAGGTTGAGCAATCATCTGTTCATCCTGCCATGAGCGCTAGGCTTAACTGTTGTGGAGGCAGCTATTGGCTGGGATGTCTGGAGCCCCCGAGTGAACCATAGACCATTTTCCTTTGCACCGTGTCGTATCCCCTCTTGCAAAATTCTTTTTCTATTTGCCTTCTTTTTTACCATAAGGCTTAAACCACCAGTACATCCAGCCATTGGCTGCGGGCCCTTTTCGGAGGCCGCCCGCCACCGATTGTATTTATCTACGGCGCTGGGCCGCCGAAAATTTCGTAGGCGATGAGTTTTCTTTTCAGCAAGGCTGGGGCTGTGTACTGGCGGTTTAAGTCCCCCTCCTGAGAAACCATTTTTCTCAAGATGGGAAAACAAGGTTTTCCGGGGAGCGACCTGCTTAGTACATGGGTCCCCTCCATACGTCTCGGGATGTCCTTGGTGCCCTGTCAAAATAATTCTGCAAGCAAAATTTGTCCGGATACACGTAAATGCACCTGGCTGTCACCCCCGCCTGACTGCATGTTGGTAGCGACATTAATCTAATTTGAAATTTTGAATTTTGAAACTGTTGCATATGGGAGCGATGTACTTTGCCCTTCTCTTTTCTCTGAGCTATGAACCTGCACATGGCTGTGTCACGGTCGTCTCCGAGTTTTCTATCGTCAAGTTGTAACATGTGGCCTCTTTATTTCCTTGGTATTGCGTTTGCCGAACTTTGTTCCCTGAACAGGAGGATCGGTTGATCATCGAGTCGCATAAGAAACATGGAAATAAATGGGCAGCCATAGCCAAGGAGTTTTCAGGAAGGTGAGGAAGATGATTTCCATGAGAGTTGCAAAAGCCAAAAAAAAAAAAAAAAATTAAAATTCCACTTTTTTTTTTTTATGCCGCAAAAACAGAAATTTGCGGTTCTGACTCCTGTCCATTCTGAGGAGCATCAGTGCGGCTCCTATTCCACCGGCATGAATTTGATTTTTTTTAAATTGAAAAAAGAAGAGGTTACAATAGATACGCATGCTCATCCCCATTACACCAGTTGAGAGGCCCGAGTGGATGACATTGATTATGTCCCGAAGGAAGGATGTACCGCCCCTCACCCCTCCCTACGTTAGCCTACATGACGGACTTTTGTTGTTGGATGCTACTTAGTCTGGCCACCTCTGCATCTATTTGCTAGTTATATCGTACCTATGAGAGGGGGGTGAGTAAAGAAACATAGATGTGCAATTACAGGCAAGCCGCAATCGCAGGCGCACATGCATCAGCAACAAACACATGCCACGTGGGCACGCACAAGTCTTCGTAGCTGTTTGGCTGTCAGATTTGCAATGGATACTGGAGCTGGTAGCTTGACTACTTGCTGTCAATCCTACTAAATTCTTGCGCCTACCGTTGTACCACCATTATTGCTGTATCTAGATTCTAGACTGAAAGTGGCTCAAAGTAAAGTTATAATGACCGTACGTTGTATTCGGGTGAAGACGGTAGCACCGGTGGTTTTGAATTTTGAAACTACTTAGCATTTAAGTCCTGCGCTGTCCCAAAACCCTTCACCTTAAACCCTCTTGTGTTGTTCCCTGTGGGGTTTGCTAAGCCCTAAACCCTTGCTTTTTGCTTTTTTTTTTTTTTTTTTTTTTTTTTTTTTTTGTTGTTGTTGTTGTTGGAAAGCAAGGTTTCATCTTTTCCGTGGAGCAGCAATCCGGTTCTTTTTCCGCCGGCAAGTCAAGAGAATACCATTGTACACACGCTACGCTCCTCCCCATTATGGGGTTGGGAGGTCCGAGTGGATGGCATTGATTACTTCCCTTGCTCTTACGCTTTCGGAGCCTTTATTTCCGACTTGCCCCCTATGGCCGTAGAACATAGCTAATTCTGGCGGAAACTTCATAAACCCTAAACCATGGAAGATTCACCTGCTGTCCCCTTCTCCCTTTGGTCTTGGAATCCTCTCTTGACCGGTCGTGTGCCCCATCCTTTACCCTTGTAACTGTTGTTGAGCTATCTACAGTATATGGACCGACCGGCGTTGCCAACCTACCTCTTCTCTTTAAGTCCTGTGTGGATGCATACTACATAGTATTTTATCTGGAGCCTAACGACATACCCGTGAGTTGGGTCCTGCTTCTAGGCATTTCTGACAATTGTGGTTGGACTAAGTGGTTGTGCCTCTCTCCATTGGCCAAAGTGAATTCTGTCTTTGTCGATTGCTGCTGCTATCTATTCCTGCATCTTGTTCCTTTCCTCTATTTCTTTTTCAGGAAGTGCACCATGCCATTAGCCCATGTAGGGGTTAAAGGATGCTATGACTTTGGGCCTTGCCACACGGCACACAAAACGAAGATGAAACGAGTGCATCTGTCCACGAACTTGTATCAATGTAATGGAGATAAGTCAGATTATCTTCTAACAGTGGTCTGAGTGAAACCCTGACGAATCATTCAGAAAATGCATAATTTAGGTTATTAGATATCATTCAAGTATTTGTTTCTGGCGATGGTCTGGAGTGTAAAGAATATACCCTCGTTTGTTGTCCTCTTCTCTCTCTCTGCCTACGGTTTACCGGGCAGTTCTGTTTGTGACGATATATATATATATTTGACGATATATATATGGTTCAGCCTCCTGATGAGTCGGTGAAACTCCGACGAAACAGTTTGTCACAGCCCCTCGTTTGTTGTCCTCTTCTCTCTCTCTGCCTACGGTTTACCGGGCAGTTCTAATTGACGATATATATATGAAACTCCGACGAAACAGTTTGTCACAGCCCCTCGTTTGTTGTCCTCTTCTCTCTCTCTGCCTACGGTTTACCGGGCAGTCTGTTTGTGACGATATATATATATAAACTCCGATGAAAGTGTAAAGAATATACCCTCGTTTGTTGTCCTCTTCTCTCTCTCTGCCTACGGTTTACCGGGCAGTTCTGTTTGTGACGATATATATATATATTTGACGATATATATATATATATATATATATATATTTGATTCTGCAGACTGTTGAGGGTTCAGCCTCCTGATGAGTCGGTGAAACTCCGACGAAACAGTTTGTCACAGCCCCTCGTTTGTTGTCCTCTTCTCCCTCTCTGCCTACGGTTTACCGGGCAGTTCTAATTGACGATATATATATGAAACTCCGACGAAACAGTTTGTCACAGCCCCTCGTTTGTTGTCCTCTTCTCTCTCTCTCTGCCTACGGTTTACCGGGCAGTTCTGTTTGTGACGATATATATAGATAGATAGATATATAGTTGTCCCCCGATGAGGAGAAGACCGATATACCCAAACACACACACACACACACACACACACACACACACACACACACACACACACACACACACACAATTTGATGTTTTTTAATTTTTTTAATTTTAATTTTAAAATTGTATGTTATTTGGCCCACTTCTCGATTTATGTGTGTCATCCTTGCACAGGAGCCATGCTAATCTTCTCTATATAGCTCCAATTTTAACGGATGTACAGGACTGATGTTTTTTTTTTTTTTTTTAATCATTAATTTATTCAACAAAACAAATTAATCTATACATTCTAGAATCTAGAGCAATCTGAGCAAACCAATTAACCTGTCCATTTTCTCGGAAGCTGCACTCGTTTCGTTTCTCATTTCGTTTTTTGTTTCGTCTGCCGTGGGGGAACGCCCTTTGGCAAGGGTTACATCTTTCATCTTTCATCTTTCATCTTTCATCTTTCGATGACGGATTTGACCACTTGTGGTAAGGATCATTTATCAATCACAACTTCGTGCAAGCCTTTAGTACGCGAGGCCAATGACCATGGCTGGATTGTCACTAAGCACTCCTCCTTTTGTCCATTTTGGTTTTCTGCGCTCGTTCTCGGCTCCTGCAGGACAGATAATGCCATCAAGAACCACTGGAACTCCACCTTACTGAGAAAATATCCGGAGCTAAGTCAGCGTAGCAGCAGTGCTCTCTCGTCCACGACACAGGACACATGTCATCAATTGGCAGCAGCAGATACTGATGGCGACAGCACTGCGGGAACAGATGAGGAACCACCAGGGTCATCTTCATTATCACCTTCACCACCATCCAAAAGACAACAACCCCCTCGCTGGGAGGATGATGGCAAGCTGCAAAAACGCATCCGAGGTAAAATCTCTCTCTCTCTCTCTCTCTCTCTCTCTCTCTCTCTCTCTCTCTCTCTCTCTCTCTCTCTCT